TTGCGAAATAGGAGCACTATTTATCAGTCTGTAATAAAAGACGTGAGGAAATTCTGTCTTTTTTAAAGACAAACATTTTTGAGGCGAAATACCCACAAAGTAGTTTGTAAAAAATATAATATAATTCGGTAAACTACAAACTTTGTTGCTGATACGATTTGCTTGGGTGCACTTTGCCTCAAGTTTCGCCTTCGAAAACGAGAACATCCCCAATTCTTCTACTCAAGAAGGGAGGAGATTCTTTGTTTTCAAAACCAACTAAACTTGAGGCGGATGCAAACAGTCTAATCTTGAAAGACATCGAATGCCCGAAATTTGAAGAAAAAATGAACGCAAACAAATTTTCCGGTGGAAAAATAGCGAATTCAAATTACCTGTCTCTGGGTCGTTCGTGGCTTGGAAGCGAATAAAACGCATCGACTGCCGCTAAAAGGCGGTCGCTTGGAGGGGCTGGAGGCGGCAACCTAATATCTTTAGGATCTAACGGTTTATATTCAGAGTCTTCCAACTGGAATAAGCGCGTCATAAACGATTACAGCACATAAACAATCAGAGGCACTTGTAAAGTGCCCAGTTTTCTCTAAACATGTTTCTACTCTAGTAAATGTTTACCTTGACTAGAGGCACCATTAGACCGGCAGGAAGTTCGTAGTAGGGTGCGGTTGGCATGAGGTCTTCCAGAAAAACTTCCGGCTTAGGAGGAAATCCTGGCGGCGGCTTGGAAAAGTCCGGAAACATCCCAACCGGCGGCAAATAACCTGGAGGTGGCAGGGAAAAGATCGCCGAAGTATCAATTCCATTCGGAGGCGGCTGGATTTCAAGCAGTGGATTGCTGGTGATGGTTGGAGGTATATTGGGAAGAACAGCCATATTTGGCGGCGGAACATTGAGGTTCACTTGCAAAAAATTCTCTTCGGGCATGATGCTATTCTGAGAGCCGATAGCTTGGATGGGAAACGTTTGCTGTGGGGGCTGCTGGTTCAGATTCGACATATTTGACTGCGACAGGGACTGAATGGTCTGCTGCAATGAAGCTTGAATGGTTTCCAGCGGGATTATTCCAGAATTTTGGGCTTGGGTGGTAACTGGAGGCTCAGCCAACGGAATATGTGGCTTTTGCTGCTCGATAGTCTGCCGTTGCTGCTGCAAATCCATTATTTGCTGCATCGCGTGGCAAACAAAGGCTTGATGTTGCGATTGGTAGCCCTCAAACGTTATCTTAGTCTGATCCGCTATCGAGGCCACTTCGGTCGCATATTTCGCCATCTGGTCCGACTGGTATTGCTGGTAGCTTTTGATGGGATTATGCAACTTCTCCAAAGTGTCACTCTTCAAGTAATTGGATTTCGATTCCCATAGTTTAACCAACTTGTCCAACTTCAACTTTTGCTCTTCAGTTGCAGCGATGCTGGCGTTGCAGAACATGGGAACCACCGCTAGTTCAAGAGCATCTTTTAGATCGCATGCATTTTTCCTGGCACTAGAAAATAGGGGAATCAGGGTCATGGCGGAAGATTCATGGCAGAAACGTACCTGTGGTGCAAGAGGTCGTTCACCAGATAGATTACGTGTAATTTTTGAGGAAATGTACTCGATTGCAACACCCTGTAAATGTAGTTAATAAGCCAAGGGTTGGAAATAACTACTTCATAAAAGGAAGAGCAGAGTAAAAGCCACTTTAATTACAACGATGCAAAGCTTGATTCAATGGTTTAATACAATTTTTCTCCATTTGGCAGCAAACGAAAAGGAACTATTAAAGACGCACAAAGGAAGGCGCCCATGGGTTCACATAGAACTAACGGAACGAATGAAAATTTGTCGCATTTTACATGAGTAACGCTTCTTTAGGATGCGACCTATACGTACCTCTTATATACATGCCTTATCTCATTTAAAATAAGGCAAATATAAGTTTTCATTCATTCCGTTCGTCCGATGCAAACAAATGCGCGGTTAAGTAGGTAGGTTTACATTTAATTGAATAATTTTTTTTTATTTTGTGAATTGAAAAATATTTTAAACGAGTTTTCCATTCCTTGAAGTGCTGCCGATACGATACGATAACACTTTAACTGATAATTATAATGTATTCACCTGTACAACAAACACTGAACGATGCAACTGGATTTTTGTTTGGTGCTTGCATGCTGCAAAAACCAGGACTTTCCATTGCTGATGCTGTCCTTTGTACAGCTTTCAATAATGGGTTGTAAAATGCTATTTAGCTCGGTTAGAACAATGCCGCAGTCGTCGGCCTCCCTCTGAAGATCAGCCGCTTCGCATTTCGCCACTGCTCCTTCAATGGCGGCCTGCTGTTGCTGCATCAACACATTATGCTGAGCGGACAGGTTTTGCTCACTTTGCTTGATTTGCTCCCTCAGGGTGTCTTGCTGCTGTATTATATGATCAATTTCAATGGTTTGCTGAGCAGTTAAATGAACGGGGGACGCCGTCCAAGTGTTCGGTTCAGTGACAGCGATCTGCGTCGGGGGCGGTATTGATATAAGCTGTTGTTGCTGTTTGAATACTGAAACGATGTTGCTTTGTAAGTGCACAAGAAAATATTTAGACTTTGTTGTGCACTTACTGGCTTGTTCCGTGGAAACCTTATACTGATAATACTTGAAATATTCGCCGCCATAAAGAAACTGGAACTTGGGGTTTCCCTTCTGCTTGTTTTTGGTCATTTGCTCGAATTCCAGCCCATTTCTGGCGACAAACTGGGCCAGCTTGTCTATGATGTTTCGAAGATCTATGTCTGGAATAACAACACTAGGCTTTAGAGAATGGAATTTGGTACACAGAAGGGGCTAATTAATGTGGAGAATTGGGCTTTAGGCTGTTTACATTCCTATTGGCGGGAGAATAACTCATAGATTTAAGCGCTACCTTCAGGGGGCTGTGGTATATCCATTGTGCCAACTGCAGTTAGTTTCCTCAAAGCCCAATCTTCCCCAATAACTTAACACATGCTTTGAATGAATATAAATTTGATAACTATTTGGGTTTACAGACGCGTCTTCGACAGTTGGGGTTATGTTTACATGTGCTATCTATGTTTGCCTACTTCGAGTCATTTCTCGGAGGGGAATGAGGTTTAGTTGGCACATTTTCCAGTAATTTTTGAAGCATTTTTGGCTGTATTGGGTTCAATGAAAACTGAGCGGAATTCTTTGTATTAATTGATGGCCTTTTGCGCTTAAATACCTTCAATTCGCCTCTAATGGGGATAAAGCTGTCCGACTACATCTTAACCTACTTTACATGGGCCGGCTTTTGGCAGTTCCGTTGACAACAGCTTGCAATTTCAGAAGGAAATTGTGAGTTTATTATAAATTTATTAGTTTTTGGTGCTTATATTTGTGGAAATGGTAGGTATTTGAAGCAACTGCGCTTTGGGCGCGTTTGGAGCAATTAAATCTCGAAAATTTTTCAATTTCTGCTAAACTGGGTTCTATTGTATTGCAACGGCAATTTCCTCATCAAAACTCGCATTTACACGGGAAACACCTATAAGAAAAATCGTGATTCGCGAGATTATCTCCAAGATGAGCACATCGCTAACTTTGAATGCGAGGGTCCGATAAACCATAAAATTGCCCAAATTACCTCTTGCTGAATAAATACGCGCAATTAGCAATCGAAATAGCTGCATTTAGGGCATGTTTCACCAAGAACATTGAAACTGGCGTTTAAGTTCTCAACCAAATAGGGCTTTTGAAAAAATATCAAATTTGAATTTATTTTTCGACAATATGTCCATGGTCGATTTCAAACCAGGTAGACAACCCAACACACTTTATTTACTTTCACATAGCCTGTTGCGTTCAACAATGGCCCACCGTGGAGGCTTTGCCACGTTAGCCCTAAATATTTCAATATTGCTGATTTTCTGTCTAGATTCCCGATATGTTTCCAGCACAGAACCATCAGTGCCATGGTACGAAAACCTTCCAGCCGTTGCCATGGACTATAAAGTGCACATAGATCCTGGAAAAGAGGACTGCTATTTCCAATATGTTAACCCGGGGGCCACTTTTTACGTTAGTTTTCAGGTAAGTTTACACATCTATTACGTACTGATGGTCCAAGGGAGTGGAATGGGCTTCACATGCTTAATTGTGGTATAATCAGGAGCCTGAAACAGCACTAGAGACTAGCTACTTAAGTACTTACTAATGAATTGGTACATTCAATTGAAGATAAGATAATGTTTAGGCAGTTTTCGCGAATTAAGGTGTTTGTTTACAAGCAGGGTTTGGGTCTAAAACCTAGTAAAAGTTGCGTGTTTTTTGGCAGTTAGAGCGGGTTGTATGGTATGAGTTTCTCATGGTCTTTAATGAATAGCAGTAAAAAAATGCCAAGCCTTAAAGGTCCAGAAAGGAAGGCAAGAGTAGAGTAAAAGATTAGTTGAAACTGTGAAGGAATTAGGTGGAAAAACACAGATTGTATTCGAGCTAGTATAAGTTGGAAAAAAATCAAGAAAACCATTAAGGACTTTGAGCTAAACATCATGCTAAACCAAGGGCGGATCCAGGGGGGGGCATGGGGGTCAGCCCCCCCCCCCTATTCAATTCTCTATCCAACGATTCCAAAACGAATTCTTTGGCTCGAATATTCGATATAATATTCGACCATATGGTTCTTGAAAAACTTCGAAAAAAGCAGCGTCATGTTTAAGTGGATTTTGCAACTCAAAAAAAAAATCACGCAAATCTAAAACTTCTTGAATTCAAGCATTTTATGTGTGTCTGATATTCAAATTTCGCTTTC